TCGATTACGTGTATAATGTTTAATTCTGCCAGCACAGCACGTACACGGAATTTCCAAACACTGTAACGTTCACCATCGAATACTTTAATGTTTCGTTTTATACCCGCACTTTCCATTGTTCTAAAACACTTAACAAAGTTAATTAAAAGAAACGTTGCCTGGGCCCATAACCTGTTGGGATTATGGAATGGAAATGAATATGATTCTAATTCTTTTCTTAAAAAGACTTTATTTTATTCCTTTATTGAGAGAAGGTATATGGGCGAAAACGATCGAGCGACCAAACTATACTGAGAGTCCGGTAAGAAAAAACGCTTCTTTTATACCCTTCTTGGGTTCGTCTTATCCACCAATCAGAGACGTTTTATTTGTCGCGTTTCACATTGTATACGTGACGCTGGGATCCCCAAACAGTCAGGGCACGATGTGTATCTAATGGTACCGGTGATGATGTATCGCGGTATCTACTATATACAGTTTACATCGCCGTCGTTGCCCGCTGACGGATCCGGCGAAAATGTAAACCGATATCTTAGTATCTTAGTACTAAGTAAACTATAGATTAATTTTTGTTCGAGGCTAAAATTTCAACAGTAATTAACAAATTTATTTACATATTTATAAACATAAGAGAACTATTCCTTTTTGTGAATTTCTTCGAAACTATTGTATACACAAAGCCGGCTGATTGTCGCAAGAAGGGCAAAATGTAGTAACGCGCTTGGCTTTTTTTGTGGCTATGACGGTACCCACGCGTTCTGACAATTATCTATAACATTCCCTGCAGCGCTTGCGAACATTTCTTGCAATGCCCGGATATCTGTTTATAAAATGAAGGTTGCTATCCTTTATTTGCCTTACTGATATTTCTTCAGTTATTAACAATTTATGAATAATTTTTTCCCTAAATTTGAGAATGCTCATTTGACCACTACCCCATGTTTTATGTATGTTATATGCATTTACTATTGCTGTCCCGCAAAGTAGCTGTATTGCGATCTTCCTATACCATTTCACTGTTTTTCTTAAGCAACTGTAATAAGATGCCATTTGATCTGACAAATCGACTCCCTTTTTTGCATTGTTATAGTCAAAAACAAGATCTGGTTTCATTTTTCCCTGTTTTCCTTCGAATAGTATGCATTTATGATTTTTACAAGTCGTTAACATGGAGACAGTTCTTTTATCGGTCCATTTGACGAATTTTATGCCGGAACTATTTTCCATGGCCAGAATTTCGCCGCGTTGTTGCTTTTTCTTTGCTTCTACCGGCAAAAATTTTCGTATTTGCTGCACTGTGCCGCAAAAGTACGTTCGTCTTTGTAGAAGTGATTTTGCTAAGGGAACGCTCGTATAATAGCTATCGGTATACACAATTCGGTCTTCAAATAATAAGCCATTCATTAGTTTCTCTACAACATCATATGAATGTCCATTCGTTGAAGTTATTGAGCTTTTTCCGCTATATACATCTAAACCATACGTATAACCGTTAGGTAAACACAACTTGTATAGTTTGATCCCATATTTATGGCGTTTCCCTTTTATGTATTGGCGGAAACGCAAGCGTCCACGCCATAAAATCATACTCTCATCTATGACAACAGTTTTCCCCGGTGTGACAGTACTCTTGAATGCTAAAAGAATTTCTTTCATAAAGTCTCTAATTTTATACAAGGGATCCTCAACTCTGCATGTTTCATTATCGGCAAAATGTAAATGCTTCAGAATGGACAAGAAACGATCACGCTTCATGATCCGCTTTATACGATCGTTGCCGTATATACTATTCTCAGCCCAATATAACCTAATGTCCGGCATTTGGACGACGCCCATAATTAATAATATACCGAGAAAGGCCTTCATTTCGCCTATTGAAACAGGTGTCCAGGAGCTCTGATGTTTTTTTGTTTTATTATCAGTGCCAATTTGTATGGCATATTTGTTTGTTTGTTGGACCATAAGTAGGATTATGCTGTCGGTTACGAATAGTTCATATATTTCGAACGGGTCATTGCAATTAATATTTTCCATTAGAAGTTCCGCGTCTTGCCCACGATCTGGTTCTGCCACTTCTTCTTCCGCTTGTGTCGTTGGAATTGTTTGCCATTCTGTTTCTTGGAGCATTGTATTCGGAGACAAATGTAAATTAGAAAGCCTAACGCATGAGTTGTCGATACTATATTCTTGCTCTGATATACTGTCATCTGAAGTATAGCAAATAGGTCGTGACCTTTTTCTTCGATAACATTGATCAGATTCATGTGATGAATCATCAAATTTCCTTCGTGACATCCTATGGGTAATATTAGAGGGACCGAAAAGTAATGTCGTTTTCTTAAGTTAAATTCACACGACTACATTTTTA